ATGTGGGGTGAATTTTCACTTGACTCATTTCCCAAACTCTCTTTTCCAACATACTGCTCTATCTAACAGGGAACCCAAAGCTGCTTTCTAGCTCCCTGGTCCGCACCAGCATTAAAAAAAAAAAGTAAGTAAAAATTTCCACTCTAATGCCACGATTTCTTCATGGGAGGGTCCCAGCTGCCTGAAATCAGCATGAGCTCCTTTTTAACAAGTTGAGCCACTTCTGCACCCCTCCCCACACTATTTGACAGCTTATAATAAAATGTTTTAGATGCCTAATGCAGTGAGTACCAGCCAGGAACAGGAAATGTTAATAATTATCCCGATTTTCAATCACTTTAACTGAATTTTCAAAGTAGCACGTTCACAAATTTCCTCCCTATATGAGACTAGAAGCTGAAGAGTGAAACCCTCCGTAGGCAAAAGCCAAAGCAGCTACGAAGCCCTGCAGAGCAGCTAAGGAAAAGAGCAATGAGCTGCTGTGCATCACGTGTCCTGATCTCACACCTCGTGCACAGAATCAGGGCACACAGCAGAGGTAACTATTATGTTGTGCAGTTCATTAAGGTGAATATCTGCAATACTTGCTCAAAACAGGTGCGAAGTTCCTGGGAAATTATGAGGAAACGGAAGCCTTAACAAATGGAAACAACCAATACACAAACAGAAGGGGCTGGTCCTGGCAAGGGTTTACAGGACCATTTCACCCAGAAAAAACATACTGCCTTGAAGCGAGTGCAGTTCAGATGCACACCAGTAGCTTCTCTGTTTTGCTTTTTAGGATGTGGGTATGCCTATAGGCACATGACTTCAGTTCTATATTTTCACGGAGTACAGCGCGTTTCTATGGTGCAGAAAAGACAGAGGCAGCAAATACAGCTCCAGAAAATCTGATGACCATTCCCTCCCTTTCTCCTTCCATAATTCCTCTTTACTGAAGGACACAGTGCGTATGCTAAAAGCCAAGGGAATGTGTCATTCAACACAGCTGGATTGAGCGGTCATACTTAAACACCTTCCAACTGTATTAGAAAAGGACACACTGCAGCAGCCCAAGGACACCGGGCAGTGTTGGTACCCTTTAAGTAGTTTCCCTCTGACCTCTGAGGACTGACGTTATATTTCACAGGGGTCTGCCAACTGTTAGGGCACACCACCGTGTTATCCCCCACAAAAGCAGGAAGGGTTAAAAAACAGTCAATGACAATTAATAATATCTATCTTTTCCACTCTTTCACATTCTTCATGCTCTACATCTGTCTTCAGTTTTCCGTAGGGGTTCCCTCCATCTTTCTGCCTTTCTTTGTGATCATCTTTCACCAATTTTTTCATTTCTGATTTGGCCTTACAATTTATTTTTCTTTGTTCTTTTCTCCCCACCTTCCTAATTGTGCTGTAATGCATATTTAAGATGCTAACAGCACACAAGAGGGTTTTTAGAAGAACACAGCACAATAAGTGGGCTGCTTACAAAATCCAGATACGTACATCACAGCTGCAGCCGGTGGATGCTGAGTGCACTCAGCGACATGTCTGGGGCTTCAATGGAAGCTCATATCCTCAGAAAACGCAGCCCTGAGGTGACGGTCTCCTTAGTATCACTGATTTATCCCAATTTCCCACTAATGCAATTCCAGTGAACTCTCTAGGAATAAAATGGAGGGGGATAAAAAAGGAAAAATAGCAGAAGAGTAAAGAAAATAATACAGAAAGGCCACAAGGGCAGCTTTGCATGTATATGAAAGCTGTTGACTGGAAATAAGGTTTGCGCAGTCCCCCTCCTCAGAAAGAAACCCACTCAAAAATGCCACAAATTAAAAGCCAGCAAATACATTCTGAGTTTGGACTCAGATGCCAAATTTCCACAAAGTCAGTTGCAGTAATAACAATAAAGATGAGAGAGAATTTTCTCTGTAACTGCTGCAATATTTTCCAAATACACTCAGCTGAATATAAAATTTAGCGTTGTGCTATTTTTTGTTGAGTAGCATATGGCAGTGAGAGCTTCAGACAAGTCACAGAGGGCTGAGTCTTGGAGGATTCAATGAAAAAGTTGCTTGAGATGTGCTCAGAATAATTTTATATTTTAGAAGTGAATATTCTTAGTTTCCTAGCATGATTTCGTAAGAGTCTTATAACTTCTTTTTTTTTTTTGGTGTTTATTACCCTCTAGATTCCGGAAATCTTTCTGTATGCTGAGAGCAAATTACACTGAAGTGACAACTATAAAACCATGGCAGTCCCAGTTAGTCCTATGCTATGCATTTGCTCTCCCATAGCTTAAAAAAAAATAATCCATAACTGTTTGAGTACCTTAGGGAAGCAGTGTGATTTGCAGGAGCAAGATTTATTTAACAGATTGTATGATTAGTCCAGACTACGCTATCTATCAACACGTATAATCACGGCATGTAAATGTGTCAGTCTGGTCAGATTCTACGTTCAAATCCCACAATTTAGATTCTTCATGGTGGATCATTTTAATGTAGAATTGCAAGACATAAAATGCTAGACCTTTATGTGTTTTCTATAAATCTTAGTGTCTTCTACCTCTGTAGTATCTGAGAACAAACCTGGTTCTTGCTCAGTGCAGTAATCCCACAGGATTAAATCCTACTGTAAATACCAGACAAATTACAATCAGATTAGATGGGCAGTCTGTTCATTTACTCAACAACAGCTGCACTCCAGAGTCTTTTCACCACTGGTGTCTATTTATAACATGAATGTTTTGTCCTTAAAGTAAATGAACACAGTTTCTAGTTCATATCTCTCTTGTCTTACCATTCGTGACCAATAAGGAGCACATTTCTACTTCCTAAGAAGCAAGCAGAATGCTCCTTGAGAGGCCAAGAAGAAAACTGTTCTTGGTACAGATCTGCAGGGCAAGATTCATTTTAAATTTATCAGTGAAGAGTCCCTTGAAAGGTCTGCATTCAATTTCAGTCAAGTGGAATATAGAGAATATCTTTCTGGAGGTAGGTATGAGACAGTAGCACAGATTTGCTGCAATTTCCCAGGACTTGCCACATTCGCTGCAGGAATTTCTATAGGTTCCAAACCTGGTACTCCTGCCTACATCGGTGAGCATAAAACCATCCAACTTATGAAGCTCACCAGGTAGATCTGGTGTAGCATGGGGCTTACAGGGGATTTCTGCTCACTTATGAATAAGAAGCATGTTTAATAATGTTCAATATTCTCTGCATTTTGCCAAAATCTCCCTACCACTTCACTGCAATCATTTATAAATGTCACATCACAGCCCTCATAATTGTTCCCAGTTCAAGAATCGTCTTGCCTTTTAGGTACAAACTTGCTTCCACCCAGCACACAAATCTGGCGTTATTGTATTTTTATTACTGTAATCACTTAGTGAAACCCTACTGAATCATGGAGCTAAGACTTTCATAAAATAGTATTTATGATTGCAGGCCACAAAAATATTAAAGCCAAATTAAGCAAACTGCTGCACCAACTCGTATTCTCAGTATCCTGCTAACTCCATTCTCACCTCTACCTTCTGATTGCAGAGTCATTATTCCTAATTTGCACAGAGATAAATAAGAATAAAAGTGCTGAGGCTGGGGCAGTGGAGTCCATGAACCAGGAGGAATGCTTTGTATGCCGACCCAAACCGTTGCCACCAAGCTTCTCCATACTTACACGTTTGCACGTACTCACTCAGCTGCAGAGGTGCGAGGCAGGCAACCTCTGCCCATGAAAACCCAGAGGGGGTGTTCTTGTGAGCCCCCTGAGCGTGCCCCAAAGTGATGTGACCACACTGCAATGAGCAATGTAACAGAGCGGCACAAACACAACCGGAAAGGCAGTGCAGCATTCACTTCTCTTCCGTAGCGATATGGTAGCCTGGAAACCAGAACACCTTCCTTTATCAGGTAGAAACCAGCGTAGTTCATCACATCGTATTTAATATGTTACAGCTGCCAAACAGGTATAACATAGCACTTATGCAAACATAGGATCAGCTGTTCTCCAAAGACAGCTTTTCCATTAGGCAGGTGTCAAGAATTCAATGTCATAAACTGATTTTGCTGAAGTTGGAGGGGAAAGCGTACTGAGCCCACTTTGCACTCTGACAAAAGGTGTTATGGCTACCTTCCACTGCAAGACGTTGTCTTTGGCACCACTGAACGGGAATGTTTTTGCAACAGAAATACTGGTGCCAGGTTCTGCTTTCACTCACGCCTGTGACTCCTGCTGATTTCATGAGGAGTTTCCATATTTCACTAGCTCAGAAATAGGTGTACATTGTGTAAACCTGAATGCGTATGGGACAACGATTTTATGATATGGCATACGAAAAGTCAATATTGGCTTAAGGTTTTCCTGCACAACTTCCTCCCGTGCTTTTCTCTCTGTGTGGGTAATGCGTTAGAGGTCATGCTGGTTTTCAGATCGATTCAGTGTGGCCTCCCAACCAGTCACAGCTGAAAGAGAGACTCTGTGGCACAGTACGGAAAGAGGCAGTGAGAAGGAGAGGAATGGCTTAAGCTGGTACCTCTGGTTGCCATCATGCACGCCGTGATCCCTGGCCAAGTTAGAGGCGATCAATGGATGTTGTTGGTTTTTGCCAAAAAACAACTACTGTTTCGTTATTTTGCCACAAGCTGCTCGGACAATTACTGTGTCTCAGCATCCATCAAGAAAGGAAGGATGTGACATGGTGGAAAGATCCCAGCTCACACGGGACCCTTACAACTGTGGAAAAGTTAATGAAAACTGACTCCTTTTGCAAGACCAAGCCAGGAATTGTACTTCTGTAGTGCAGTATGCATACTTAAAAATCTTTAAAATACAACAATATGAAGACTAAAGCAATTTTAACAATAATCACTTTTCTTCTTGTTACGAGAAATTTATATAAGGAATTCAGACTTCTGAGGTGTTTGATTTTTGCAAGCATTTGATTTAGTAAAATATAGTGAAAGCTATTACTACACAAGGAAGAACGAGGAAAAATTACATCAAGAACTTACTTTCTGCAGGTTCCTTAGATCTTCTGCCACTGGAGGACTTCCTCAGGAGACTTCGTCCTGAGGTAAAGAGGCTGGTTAGTTCCTCCAGAGGACTGGTGGGTGTCCGAGAACGGGAACCACTCTGAGATGATGACCCGTAGGTACTGACCGAGGCATTTACCATCTTTCCTCCTTCTTGCAATGTGTTTCTGGCTGTAGAATGAGGCACTGATGGAGAGCTTCTTGAGAGACTTCCTGAATGTACAGAGTCATAAGGTGGAGGTCTTTTGAGGCTTAAGGGGGTAAGAGACCTACCCATACTGACAGGAGAAGGTGAGGCAGAGTGACTTTTAGGATAACCATGTGGAGACTGTGTTCTGTATAAGGTAGAAGGATGAGGAGGTGAGGAGGTGTGCCCAGGGGTGCTAGTTCCATGAGATACTGTCTGGTCTTTCTCCAGTTTTTGATGGCCTGGTGTATGAGGTGGCAGTGAAGATGGAGAAGCTCCAGCTTGTTGTTTGATGTAAGACACATTTTCTAAAACGGGAAGCTTTGTTACCTCTAGTGGAGTTAGAGGAGACTCGTCAGAATTCGGGGAACACTGCACTGGTGCTGGTGGGAACACCAGCAGTGGAGGTCTGTGAGAAAGCAGATTTGGAAATGGTGGGGGTATATCACAAAGCAAGCCCTTGGGAGTAGATGGCACTGAAGACTTGGTGAAATCTAGGTCAGGCACTGTGGGAGTAGCACACTGAGAAGAACAAGTGTGATGGTCATATTCACATTGACATTTTGAATCTTGGCCTACATCATCAAATATAGGGTATTTCATCTCCTCATAGACTGCTTCGCTTTGGTCATCCTCGTCTTTTTTGAAGTCTCTGAGAATATTCCCAACCATTTCAATATAAACAGGCTCTTCTTCCTCTGTGTCTGGGGCAGGACTGCTGACCTGCAATAAAGAGGCATCCCTAGTGAGTGTTGTCTTCATAGGGCCATGCTTTTTGATATACGTTTCATCAAAAGATGTGCTTAGCTGAGTGTTTGGATTTCGTTTCGGCTTAGGAGGTGGAATCTTCTTTGTGTATTCATCACTGTGAGGTCTTGGTTTGGCTGACACTGAAAACGGAACAAAATAGAAATTCATCAGAAGTATGTAACACACTTTGTCAACCATAGGATCTCTGTTACAGTGTCATAATTCTGGAATGGGTTTCCTGGGACCAGCCCGTTGCTGGGTTTCTCTGCTACACCAGTAGAACACTACAAAAATAACACCCGATTCAAACACTCCTAATCTTCCCCCAGAATGCTCTGACACTCCAGCATTAAGTAGCTAGTGAGCACTTCCCTTCCTCCGAGACATCTGTTCTCTCCCAAACTCTTTGGACAGGGGACTTTCCATTTTTAAATATTATGCTTTTCAAATATCACTGTGGGATTTTTAAAGACCCGAAGAGTTGCCAAAGACATAAAACTAAGTATCAGATTGAATGCCTTATGGCTGCAAGAAAACAGTTAAGATCCTGGACGTTCATACTGGAATGACAGTGATGTAACTCTGCAGTGACAGAGCAATGAATCAAGACCTTTTTATTTATAGTAACTTCTTGCATAAAGCACAACAATTCTCTCAGCACTGACTGAGAAAGAAAACACTCGCATACAAATACTGTAAAATTTGCTGTTGGGAAAATCCTAATCAATTATCTGGACGCTATCCTATGTATTATGAGACTTCAGTGAAGTCAAGGGGGAACAAAGTATCTCAGAGATTCTGATCCTCCCCTAACAAGTTACTTCTAGAAACAATAGACCGTTTTGTCTTTGAAATTATAAATCAAAACATTGTGATGGAATTCATTTGAAACGAGAGGTCAAGGGTTTCTTAGAAATTATCCTTTATGAATTAAACAATAAAGAAACTCATGGAAATTGCATTTTGTTCACTTTGCATAAATAGCTAATAAAACATCTCATTAAATGGTGGGGTTAATAAAATGCCTCATTAAATGTTTGAGTGAAGTTAGTTTTTATCCTAAGTGGACTCAACAAACTTATTCAGAAAGAAAATTTACCACATACGCTAAACCTAATTTATGTTCCTATAGGGTAAATAGTTAGTGCATTGAAAGCCTTGATACCTCATTAAGTTTCCCAATTAAAAAAAAAATCCTAAACTACAGGCCAGTTTAGAATGGCAGCTTTCCTGAATTGCTCCTTGCAATTCACTGCTACAGATCTGCCACTGCAAACGCTGCGCTCAGAGAAATTTCGACACCTTCTGCTGACCCATCAGAAAACAGCCAGCAAATTTCTAATGTTAAACCAAGCAGGCGGTGCTCATGGAGTTAAACCCCCTCTTTTAGAAACAGCCTCAAACGTATTACTAAAGCCAGCAGCGAGGCACTGCTCTGCCAGCTGAAAGACGGTATTTTGACAGCCTGCGAGGACGCCGGCTCAGGGCTGGAAGACGCCTGCATTACCGCATCTTACTAACATGATTTGGTCAGTATCAGAGGGGGATTCAAACATAGCGCTATCACTTTTGTCACACTTCTGCTTTGATCTGCTAAATAACTTCTCTTCAATTCTTACAAGGCATAGCAATAAAGGCAGATGTTAAACAAGATTCCAGTTTTGTTTAAGAATACGGAGCTGTGAACGTACGCGTGTGCACATACATGAAGTAGTGAGACCACTCTTCGTCGACAGCATTTGTTTAAGCTTAACATATAACTAAGGTACAACAAAGCAAAAAGAAAAAGAAATCTTGCCAGAATTACAAAAAAAAAAAAAAAAAATTGCGCTTTCATGATGGTTCCAATTAATGCGTTCCACTTTGCAGCAGGCTAGGGACATGCAAAAGCTACCACAGATAAGAGTATTTGGTAGCTTGATGGTTTTTCACTACGTGGATATATCCTAATGCACTTTAAATTTGTCTTTTTAATTAACCCAAATTAATTTTCGTGAATGTATTAGGATAGACTTTTGGGAATGAGATGTAGGCTACCAGAATCATTTGGGCTTTGCAGAAAATATTACTCCTGATGTATTTGACAATACTAGCAGATTTTTTTTGCTGTGCTTCCAGCTAAATCACTATTTCCTTTCTGTTTAGTCTGTTACTTGTACATTACATTCATATACATTCTACTGACATAAACTTGATCTCAAATCCTCTCTCCACACCTCTGTTAATCTGATTTACAACCCTGGCAAAAGCAGCCTTCTTCAGACTGGTGTCATTAAAATGAAGAGACAGTCAATGAGGCTGGCACAAGCTGCCTGATCATTTCTGAAAATGTTGCCCAGAACCTGAACCCTCTCTACTCTAGACTGGCTAAAGGATTACAGACTTTGCTGCACTTGAAAATTGTGTATTTTGTATACAGAGGCTTCTCGCAGTCTTCAGTTCTGTGCATCATGCTACCATCCTTAACGGATACCTGAGATACAAATGTTTCCCACTCCTCTGCCTTCCCCAGACCCCTGTTCCCTATGCCGTCTTCTACATCTCCTGTGCCACGGGTGTCACACTGAGAACGTGCTCTGTCTCATAGCCATATCCCCACTCTTCCATCTCTTCATCTGGAGAGATGTTAATGATGGACAAAGTAATCAAAAGATGCTCTTGTGCTGGAGGTCATTCAAGGCTAGTGTTAACTGATATTTTTACCTAAAAATAGCTGAAAGTGATTAAGAATACTGTGTTTTCAAACAAATTGCTAGAAATAGCATATTCTGCCTCTTCCCTCCTTCCATTTTCACAGTTTTTATCCAAACTGATGAGGTTCTGCCACGTGGTCCAGACCTGTCCTTAGGTGTTGGAGTTTGCATATACAACATTCACAAGTTATTACATTACAGACAAGGAAATGAGAAATGTCATGGGAAAATGATTGACATTCTGCCATCTAGTCTTGTAAAGTATTTTTGCATGGGTTGAAATTAAGTACCGCAGTGACAGACACAGCATTCTCATCTGCCATCGCATGATATGTAGGCATTAGCCTAAAATATCTTGGTGACATTATCAACAAAAAGGTCAAATGACCCAGTCCTGCTGTATGATACACAGGGTAAAACATGACAAGGTGAAAGATTTACTTTCCATTTTCTATTAAAAGCATTTTTTCCTCTGCCACGGTTTAGTTTATTAAAGCATCTATTTCCAGAAGGTGGTATGTTACCGAGATCTTTTTCCCTCCTTGACAAACTGGACTTTTCAAACTAAAATTAAAAACTAAATGCTTTAAATATTTTATAAACCTTATAAAGGTACAGAGGTACCCCCTATATGCTACATGGAGCAGGAACATTTGGTGCTATAAGACTTCCTAAAGAAAACACACAGGTAAATGGATAGGGTAAATAGCAAAGGAATCTTTTTATCGTGACTGGGAACAGAGGAACTGCTCAACGCCTACTGGGAACTCCCCTCAGCTGCAGTGGGGCATTCAGGAGGCAAACTGAACTAGGTTTAAGAAGGCTATGATGCAAAGACGCTTATCGTGTTTATTTAACAAAGGTTTCTGCTCTGAAACACAGCTCCATAGCAAGGGCTGAACTCTACGGCACACCCGATAATGGACTATGGATCATGAACTACCGCTCCAGCCCAGAATAACAGAGAAAAAAAAAAAAACAGGAATCCTGCAACCAACCAGAGCTGTGCAAAGCTAATGAAAGGAGCAGGGAGTATTTGTACAGCTTCTGTGTTACCAACATTTGGCAGGGATAAATGTGCATGAATGCAGAAGCCCTGGCAAGATCCCATAGCCAATGAAAGGCGATTATTTGGCAATCTCCAGAGAGGAACAGGCAAGATTTCTTTAGGTACTTGACATTTATCAGGCAGAAAAAGCATTCGGTGCCTGCTGGGAACATAAACTCCTATGAAAAGCAAACCATGCTGACATATTGGTGATACACATACTGCCGCGTTGTCTGCTCTAAACATGGAATAATTAAGTGCTTTTCAACCTGGATTACTACGTCCTTGGTGCAACTGTCGCCAGCAACTTGCCTTGAGACTCTGCCACCCGTACGTCAGCGCACACGGGCCCGATCGAAAGCTAAATGGAAGAAATGAAAACGAGGACTATTCCTCTCCCTGCCAGGTGCAAGTTCCCTTAAACAGCCATGTCAAAGTGCACCACAAAGCTCTTGCGAGTGCTTCTGTTACAGAGACACACAAACGCAAGAGACCGCCAGGTCTGCGAGGAGTTCGAGCAGACCGGAGGCGATCAGAGGAAGATAGCTCAGCAACTGCTACGCGGTCCTCTGCCCTCACAGGAGCTGCCCCGGCTGCGGGAGCTCGGGGTGCTATGCTAGCGGCTCCTTTTTTGCATCAGAACCGCCCAAACTACCACAGTTGATAAACTGGAGGCACGATGATCCTTGCAAATGAAACTGAACTTCACGGAGTTTACGCTGCTTGGGCAGGAACTCTCCGTGTTTAATAGCATCCTACTACCAAGCAGTTATCTAGCTCTAATAAACTGCAAGTGAAACAAAACATGCAGCCTGCAATAACTTCAGTTCTCATCGAGAAGCAAGAAGCACAGTGCTTAAAATAGCCTTACGGAAGCCCTACTGAATAAGCAGAATATGACATTTTTGAAATGAGATATTTGTAGCGCAAAGGTTACGCATAGCTTTCAGACATGCCCAGATAATCCGCCTTTCATAGTTAATTTTGGAAATACAGAATGCTTCTGGTCATCTTATCCTTCTGAAGTATTTTTTTACTCTTTAAGGAGAGACTGAAATATGAAAACGTGTTATCAGATTGTTTTTTATTATTTGCTCACTGTATAAGGAATGAGTGAAAACATCTAAAAACTAAAACGAATTTTGTCATTTTCTATTGTCCTTGGGGTGTTTACCAGCTTTTGCAGTTCAGAGACCAAGCCGATTTACTGTGCTGTTCACCGTAACAAACAGGAAAAAAATACACGTAACAGGAAAATTCCTCCCTTTCAATTTCTACAAGAGGCTATAGCATTCAATTTCTTTCTAAATGAAGGAATGATTTGGGGCCTAAAAGTTTTTAAAATTCTTAAAAATGTTACTTTAAATGCAGAAGGAATTAATCTTGCTGTATTTTGAGG